CCTTGACAGGCGAAAGCGGGCGAGCCACAGCCAGACCCATCACACCGAGTACGGAGGCGTCGCTCCTCCGTTTCTCTCTCTCTCTCTCTCTCTCTATGGCCCATAAAGAGGACCGCGAAACAGAAATACATGTATAGGAAAAAAGGGAAAAGAAGAAGAAAACGTTTCCATAAAATCGTACAGCGCAGTGCGAGAGGACAGAGAGAGAGAACGGGAGCGTGAGAGGGAGGGAGAGAGAGAGAACGGTTTCAAAACACACTAGACGAATATCCATCTCGCTCCTCTATTTATGATCGGCCCATCGTCATGAAGGGGGAGACAGAAAGAGAGAGAGAGAGAGAGAGGGGGGGGAGGGAGAGAGAGAGAACGCTCAGAGCCCACACCACCACCACGCAGCAGACGACGCATAAAATGATGAGCTATCGGTGTGCCGTAGAGGAACGCAAATTACCTCTCCCTCCTCCCCATTCCTTCCTCGCGGCAAATAAATTGGGCGACTGAGACGCGCCGAGAGGTTTTAATTTTCCGGAAAATACTAAGTTTACCGAAAATAAGGGGGTTTTTAAAAATAACTTTCGTTATTTTCCATGTTTTTCTTTTTTGGTGTTTTTCGTTTTTGGTGTTTTTCTTTTTTGCTTTTTGCTTTTTTTGCCTTCAAATCTCTAGAATAAGCGCCGGTGCCCCGGGTCTGTCGTCGCCGCGATCCTCTTGAACAACCTACCTGCCGCAGTGGCAGCGGCGACCCTCTCTCCTGGGGACGGGACAACTACTACCGGTGAGACTTCGGCATGTTTTTTTCACGCGGCCCTGCTGGTGCCGTTGCCTCTCCCAGCTCCCCCCACCCCCTTTTCCAGTCCCTCTGCCCCCTCGTGATTTTTTTTACAACTTGAGGTGGGTTTTAGGTTCGGACGCCGCCGCGCGCGACCTGGTTTGCCGGCGGCGGCGGGTGCGCGTCAGCCCGGACAGCTGGAGGGGCTTCCAGGACCTCCCCCTGTTCGCCCCTCCCGGCACCCACCTCCTGGCGTTTCAAGCGCCGTACCCCGCCAGCCCCC